AGGAAGTACAGAAGGAAAAAGCCTACTATTGTCATGGGTTGTGCAAACTCCTGCAAACTTTTCAGAGCCAGAAATGCAGTAAGGGCATGATATCACTATCTATTTTAAGAACTTGAAATTATTTTGACTCTTTTTTTGTAAACTGTCTCTTTTTATAGACACATGTGTTTATATGCATTGTGATGTAAATCATTTATTCTGCTATTTCACTTGAATCTGAAATTCACATTTATGTATCAATACGCTGATGCAGTATAACTGACCTAGGAAAAATACACATAGCATGGATTCTGACCAGTTTCTACAGAGGGAATCTACCCTAGGGACTCCTTTGAGTCCCCTGTGCAATAAATACTACATAAAGTGGACATGAAAGTCTTAAGCAGGACTCAAATACTGCAGGGGGCTTGTAAAGTCCTTTTGTTCTAGAGAGGTTTTCAGCTAGGGGATAACACCAGAATATCGACCAGGTCAGGAAGTACCAATCAAGAATTTCAAAACACAAGTGACACCTCAGAAATACTGTATGCTAACCAATGCTGAATACGCTTCATTACAGCTGTCAGTCTCAAGCTATTTTCACGACTGACAGAAGTTCACAGCAGAGATGTAGAGGTTATACACTTTAAGATTAAGTAGTTCAGTAGAAGTTATCATCATACCACTTCTGGATCCAAAGAAAATTAGCAATCAATTTAAAACATTTGAATTTCACCCAGTTGATATCTCATTCCATTCATCAGACAAGGTGTTTTTTTTGTCCTGCTTTAGTCTCCCTTTCTACAATGTCCTCTTACATGATAAGTTGAAACATAAAAATAGAATGAGAAATCTGGGATCCATGATTTTAGTATTTAAATTAAATATACCTGCCTTCAGGCCTTTTGTCAAAGGAACTGGATCCAAGTTTAACAAAAAGCATTGGATATCTCAGAAAGAGCGATCCAGTGGTACAGACTTGGCACAAAACACAGCATGAGTTTCGCTATCAGAACAACAGAAATTAAAAATTACAATTAATCAGATGCATTTTCTAAAACATCAGAATAATGCCTGCAGATAAACGTAAAATGCCACAGGGCAGCCCTCTACAACTGTGTTCAGGGAAAAAGAATTCTAGTCACAGAAATAACCAAATGCCCCTAAAATAAGGAAATGTCATAATGAAAAACTCTCCACGAGTTTGTCAGTGACTTAATTTCACAGGTTTCTGGCAATTCCTGCATCAAATGTAAGGCCTCAGTCCCTCAGGTAATACATTTATGTAATCATTTATCAAAATACTATTAGGATAAGATTTTCAAATTTACTTTTAGAATTGGTTTACGTTTATTTCCACAAGCCATATCAGTCACACACATAAGCAGGCAAACACAAAGTTATTGACTCACACATCTCCCTGTAGTGACTCGACACCAGATTCAATTGGTCTGTTAGATTTCCAAAGCAGTCTCTACGGATTAATCACAACTACCATCTTTCCAACCATCTCGCCAGCGCTCATCCACACGAGAGCAGTCAAATTCAGATTTCCCCAGTTTCCTGTTCACTTCATTATGAAGAAGACACAACCACTGGGAGAAGTTATTTCTGTTGCTAGTATCAGGCTGATTTGTACGTAATCTGCAAACAGGGAAGAGGAAACATATGTTACTTCTTTACAGTCACCAACTTCAATACCCAAAGCAGGCACATAGCACACAGACAGCCGGGGTCGCCTTTTCTGCTGTTGCAAGATGAGTCCCAAAGAGATCTCAGAAAAGAGCACACAGACATCAGTAAAAACCAGAGGCCGAACCTCCACTATAAAATACTGATGGCTGCAACTTGCTTGGTTTCATTCAGTGCCTAGTCTTGTCAACTGGAAAAGACGCAGGAGTCAAACAGCTTATCCATGATAAAAAGCAAGAAGTACTCGAGTTCATCAAAACACCAAATTAAAAAAAAAAAAAGGAGAATAATAAATGAAAAATATCGAGCAGTTGTTTTGCCATGTGATGGCTGCTAAGTCAATGAATAGGTTTCACCATCCAGAAAAGAGGAGGTTCTTTCAAGAAACAAGTTGCCAGTAACAGGAGTAGAAAACTTTATTAAACATCACAGCCCACGTTGGTCTTTGCTTCCACTGCTGAGGTTGCCAATAAAGAGGATTTTCTGGAGTAGAAGAACTCTTGCCTCCTGAATGCGAAATTATTTCAAGTCCTAGTCTAATTCCACAACTGAGCGCAAGTCCAGTTTGAACCAGAAAATCACAGAATCACCTCAGGGAGACCTTGGAAGCAACACACAACCTAACAGCATAAGAAAAGGCATTTGTTTTCTGAGTAAGTGTATCTCTGATTTATGCAATAATGGAAGAAACCCGTTCAGGTAGCTACAAACCCTAAATGCAGGAAGAGCTGCTGATATGCAAATAGCCGCTGCAGCCCAGCAGCCACGAAAAAAACCCCGATGAAGCAACTCACCTTTCCCTCAGATCCTCAGCGCAGTGCTCACAGGGGTAAAACTTGGAGAAGAGGTTGATGAACTCCCTCATCTCCTTCTGCTGGGCACCAGTGGGGTGGTCGGGGTAGTACGCTGCCATGGTGTGCAGGAACGCCCAGGTGTTGCGGCCCAGCTGCTCGCTGTCGAGGGGACAGTCCGGCGGTGGCTCTTTCTCCTCCACGACCGTCGGGTCCTGGAGCAGCAGAGAGAGTTGTGAGGGGACAACGGCGCTTAGTGAGGAAACAGCCCCTTTGCACTCTGGTGGGAGGACGAGATGGCGGGGGACAGGCCCTTCGCACCCTCAGCAGGGGACAACGGCTGAGCCCCCCTTCACACCCGGTGGGGAGAAGATGGAGGCCCCGTTCACACCCCCACAGAGGGGAAACCCTGCCCCTGGCCCCTTCACACCCTGAGGAGGGGGCCACACAGCCCTATCACCCTTGGGGGGCAGGACAGAGGCCCACTTCACAGCTCTGCAGGGGCTGGAGGTACGACAGCCCCCCGGGGCAGACAGGGAAGCTTATCCTGTGGCCTCAAAACCTCTAGTGTCAAGACAAAAATAAGGAAAAAAGCAAGACTGTGCTGCCCCCCAACTTTTCATCCTCTGAACCCCCGTCAAGAACTTCCCAAGGGTGCTGTGTCTCAGAGCCTGGCTGTGGGGTGCACTTCAGGCGGTCACACCCACTAGACTACAGGACGCATCGGCCAAAAGCTTTACCTGCACTTTTAGCACAGTGCCAAGCCACAGCTAATTAACCTTTCCAAGGGGTAAAAGACCCAGCTCTGAAGCTGATGCCGTGCTGGACCGTTGCCCAGGAGCTGGGTCACCATCCTCACGTGCTCGCAAGCCCGTGGCTCAACAGGAGTAAAAGGATAGCAGCTGAATGTCCGCTCGAGACCGAAGCACTGGGGCAAGGCCTGGGCTCTCCTTCACCCCTGAGCAGCCCAGCCGCTCCCGGCCGCAGGCAAGGGCTCACTTCTTCAACGGACCTGCCCTTGCGTAACACGTGCAAACGCTCTTGGAAAGAGGTAAGTAAATCCTTCCTCAATATAGTTTTACAAGCATGTGACAGGTGTTAAAACACATAAAATTTGATACGGGTGTGTTCTGCTACAGGTGCATGAGTTGGAATTGAGTTACCCATTTATTTCTTCTTTAAATCACGCTGTGGACTGTATCACTGTGCTGGAGATAATGCTGAGGTGCTCTTCACCACCGCTGGCACGTAGGCCACATCTTCCATCCCATGAGCTCTGCCTCACACTATATATACATAGTGTGTATATATATATAGTGTGTGTATATATATATATATATATATATACACACACTATATATATATACACAATATGTATTTATAGTGTGAGGCAGAGCTCATGGGATGGAAGATGTGGCCTACGTGCCAGCGGTGGTGAAGAGCACCTCAGCATTATCTCCAGCACAGTGATACAGTCCACAGCGTGATTTAAAGAAGAAATAAATGGGTAACTCAATTCCAACTCATGCACCTGTAGCAGAACACACCCGTATCAAATTTTATGTGTTTTAACACCTGTCACATGCTTGTAAAACTATATTGAGGAAGGATTTACTTACCTCTTTCCAAGAGCGTTTGCACGTGTTACGCAAGGGCAGGTCCGTTGAAGAAGTGAGCCCTTGCCTGCGGCCGGGAGCGGCTGGGCTGCTCAGGGGTGAAGGAGAGCCCAGGCCTTGCCCCAGTGCTTCGGTCTCAAGCGGACATTCAGCTGCTATCCTTTTACTCCTGTTGAGCCACGGGCTTGCGAGCACGTGAGGATGGTGACCCAGCTCCTGGGCAACGGTCCAGCACGGCATCAGCTTCAGAGCTGGGTCTTTTACCCCTTGGAAAGGTTAATTAGCTGTGGCTTGGCACTGTGCTAAAAGTGCAGGTAAAGCTTTTGGCCGATGCGTCCTGTAGTCTAGTGGGTGTGACCGCCTGAAGTGCACCCCACAGCCAGGCTCTGAGACACAGCACCCTTGGGAAGTTCTTGACGGGGGTTCAGAGGATGAAAAGTTGGGGGGCAGCACAGTCTTGCTTTTTTCCTTATTTTTGTCTTGACACTAGAGGTTTTGAGGCCACAGGATAAGTCTCCCACTGTGGACAATGCACTCTAGAACGTGAATTTTGTATCCACTTCCACTTTTCACCTCTTCATGTCCTGCAGGTCAAGTGAAAAATATGATTATTTTGCTTAATGCAAACAAATGTATGGCCAGCATGAAGGTGGACCAAAATATCATCTTAAGAAATCTTGTATTGGCTGGCTGGGATAGGTTTTTGCCTCCCCTCCCTCCTCTTCCCCTTCAGGCAGCACCAGCCCTTTCATGTCCCTTCAGGCAGTCACGGCCTTTCTCCTTAGCAGCTCCTACCCCTACAAATAGCTGTACTTCTCCACATCCTGTTCCTTCCAGGCTGTTTCGTAGCCTGTTTGAAATGCATCTTGAGTCTTTTGCCTGATGTTAAGTGCTGTTGTGCCGCCAGTTCTGCAAAGACACAATTTGTATGAAAGCTGCTGGAAAAATACTGCTCATTTTCAGCTGTTATCCTCTGATATATTTAACACAGCATGGTGTAAAATGTTTAGTAGGTAATGCATCATTTTAGAGAAATGCTTCAAAGACTTGCCTTTGAAAAAATTTCAAAACTTAGTGTGCTTTACGTGGAAATGGCTGATCTGTTTCCCGGTCTGTGTGGCACTGAGCTGATGATCTGGATCTCCATCTTTGGGCCTCCTATTTACCAGTGCTCCATTTTTTATTCATTTGCAATTTCATGAGAACATTTCTTTGCTGACAGTCGTGAGGGAGGGAGAAGAGATATGAGTAACTGATAGGAACTACTGAAATGGCTTTGTCTAAAGTTAGAGACAACTATATATCTAAATTTCACACACAAAGGAAAGATCAAGTAGGGGAAAAGAGATTCTTTATGTTTGTTTACCTTATCCACCAATAAATATTTAAATGATGTTGATGACCTCATTCTTTTTTTTTAATTCAGGAAAAAAGGTATGCTGGTATCTGGAAGAGAACCCCGGGGGATTTCCTACAGTGCTTTATTGCTTAGCCTTCAAGCAATTAAATAGTTGCAGAGATGTTTCTAAGTCACAGCAATCTCCTTTGGCTATTAACAGTCTGTTTGCTTCCTTGTTAGTGATTTCATTATTGAGTTAGTTAAAATATAAGCATTTTTTTTTAATTTATTTAAAAGGAAAAAGTTCATAACCTGGAAAGAAGCTGTTGCTTACAGAGAGATTTGTGCTCAGCATTGCTCCCCCTGCCCCTTCTCTGGTCGGCTGTAAGAGCAGAGCTGGCTCTTTAGGAAAAGGTGCTCCCAATTTTCTCTATTTGCCCTCACAGTCGGCATCATCTTGTTTCAAAGCAGGCAAGGAGAAAAATGGAAAAGTGCTCAGATTCAAATCAGAGCAAGGAAATCCACTTTACTGTCTCTAATTGAATCCAAGCACAGAGCCCAATTAATTCCATCCAAAGGAAGGAACATGGTGCAGAGCAGAGGAAGGATGTGGCAGCCCTCCTTCCTGCTCTCCCTTGGACAACCCTTCTGTTATGTCCCAGCAGGAGCCTGGTGGATGCCCCGTGGAGGGTCCCAACGGGTGACAGCATTCAGCCGTGTGTCCCTTGCCGGGATTGTGTGACACTGGAGCATCCCGGCGCATCCTTGCACCACCACTGCCCCGTCTGCTCAAAGCCTGCTGGAGGGCGCTCAGACCAGGCAGAGAAGCTGCAGCGCGGTCGGGTGACGTGTGAGCTTGGTGGGGACAGAGCTCTGGGGCTGAAGGAACCCATGGTGAGCCCTGGCAGGCCGGCGCGGTGCATGCTCCCACCGAGCCCTCTGGTTCCAGCACTGTGATTTAGGAGCTGGCAGCGTGGTAGAGCCTGTTACCAAACAAGCTCCTAACAAAGATCGCTCCTAAGAGCGGCTGCTTCCTCAGGGCAGGGAGCAAAGCACGGCTCCATCCCACGCTGCCCGGCCGAGGCTTCCTTGGTGTGTGGTTCAGGCACCTGCTGACAGTGGCACCTTGCAGTGCCTCTGGGCACGGGCGCTGCCAACAAAGCACCTATTTTTCAATTATTTATGCCTGCGAGACCAGACTCATTGAAGTTTACTGAATAGGTGCTACTTCCTCACAGCTGCTTAATCCGTGGCTGGAATAGGGTAATGTGCAGGATGGCAATGACAGTAATTACCAGGAAGCATTAGTAAAACCTGCGCTTGAGAAAATGAAAAGGGTGTGTTTGCCTTTCTCAGAGGAAGGCCGCTGTTTAATGTTCTGCTCTTATCTTTGGCGCTTGCTAAACAAGAGCTTGGGAACTGGCAGCTGACAGTGGGTGCATGGGGAAGGAAGAAGAAACGGGCAGGCAATGGGAGATGACCCATGTTTGAGGACAGATACGCATCCCTCTGCTCGCTCTCTAGCACGAGGGCGGCAGCTGGGGCTGGACACCCCCCTGGGGCCGGACGCCCCCCCCGGCACTCTGAGCATTGCTGCACCGTGGCCAGAAAGTCGAGTCAGGATGGGCAAAATGCATGGCACAAGCATACCCACAGCGGGCTTTGGGCAAGGACAGAGGCCTGAGCTTAAATGCAGCTCCTGAGCAAAAGAGGGGCGACCCCAAGGAGGGGACACCCCAAGGAGAGGAGACCCCAAGGAGCCTTCACGTAGCTCTTTTCCCAGCAGTGTGACCCCAGGTTACAGCAGGATGCTCATTTATGTATGGGTATGACTATATCTACAGAAAGGCTGCTAATGTTCAAAGATAACTGGCTTAACACAGAGAGGACAAAACTCTTGCTGCTACCCTTACAGCCCACTTTCTAGGATGCAATAGGATTGTTTGGAAATGCAATAGCCTGCAAAGCCAGTGAGCCCGGACTGCCTGCTGGCAGGTGTTTTGCTCCATTACTGCAATAAAAAGTTAGATTTTGACCAGAGAACAAGGAATAATATTCTCAGAGCTTTCTGCTTCATTTGGGAACCTAAACACCACTGACTTTTCATTAATTTATTTAAAGTTCTTTGGAAAAGTTTACCCCATACCTCTCAGGATTCTTACAAATTTTTTTGTGATGGTTTTGTAGATAGTTCCAGTTGAATGTCACTGTTGCCCTCTCCAGGAGAATACACCAACAGGAAGCTGACTTGTATTTACGTGTAAGGATGTGAGCCTAAAGTACAACCAGTTACAAAGCCAGCATCAGCAATTAGTCATGCAGTTTGAGAAATGACAGTCAACTAGGAAACAGCAACAACAACAACAAAAGTATATTTGCAGGTAAGTGAATCATATTGAACATTTTTGCTTGTATACAAGAAATGCATCACCTGCAAAATTTCCCAAGGCATGAATTTATCTCCCAATTATTAGGAAGGAGCCTGCTGCCATACTGACACACTTCACTGCCAGTGAATGGGTGAGACATCAATCTCAGTTCAGATCCATCCAGAACTATTAAAATCTGTTCAAAAGTCTGAGGTGTAAGACTTTGCACAGAGTATATCAAGACTCTGCCTTGCTCAGATCTGGGGGTCTATACGCAGGGACTGTGGTACGTTATTTTAAAGTTTGTTCTGTTTTTATGTGTAGATCCTCTTGATGATTAAAATGGGAATTCAGAAGTAGTAGTTTATATATTTGCAATGGCAGAAATAGGGAGAAAACCAAATTATTTTCTGCAAGTTGGTACAGCCAGTCCTCTGACGTTTGTGTCGTGCTCCAGTCTGTCTCCTACATCCCAGACTCTCTCCGAGCATCCATGGAATCAGCTAATGCATTCTGAGCACAGACACAGCAAACTTGGTGTTTTCCTTTTGTGCTCTTGAAAAATAAAGCACAAAATCTTCAACGAACAGCTCCCATTCCTCTTGGCTTTGCAACAGGAGGCTGGCCCGACTGCCCTCTGTGAACGCCAGGAGGGCTCAGGGTGGGCTGCAGCGTGGACAGGGGCTTCTGCTGCTGCGGCAGAACTGACTGCACGATGAGAGCACCCTTTGTTTTAGTAAGAAGATACTATTTGAAGTTCATTAAAAAATGTTGTAGCATACTGTTTCCCATGTGGATTTTGAGGGTCCTTCCTTATCAGAGATTCCCATTTTTGTCTCCTAAAAATTAATGACCCTGATGTTATGAGAGCTGTGCTGTTAAAATCGCTTGTCCCGTACAGGACAGGTACACCTGGTGGTTTCTGTCTTTTTCCCCATCCTTAAGCAGCTCTCCTTGATTTTAGGGTGATTCCTTTTTCTAGAAGTAGGTGAAAGCAAGTGGACAGTAGTAAGTCTCAATCAGTGGTGGAGGAAGAGATTTTTCTCAGATAACAATTGCTGTGAGAATGTGTTGAACCGTTAAGAATTAAACATTAATGAAACAACAGTTCTCCTTCCACATTACTCTTGTCCCCGCCAGCTTTTGAGTGAAGATTAAATATTGTTTTCCTGTTTTCTGAAGGGGGAAAGGAACACAAAGACCTTTCCTCTGAAATAAAGGTGAACTTTTAACTTGAGATACCAGCACTGGTGGAAACCCCAGGAGAGATAAGGCACTTTGCATATTCTGGTTATTGAAGGCAGTGGGGAATGAGGAAAGGGTAAGAAGAGGATGAGCATTTCTCTGACTAATCTGGGAGGACTACAACAGTCTTGTCTCTGATCAGACTTTACCATATTTAGCATGAAGTAAGAACAGATTTTGCCCAAGTGAAAACAGTATTTCTACACGTTCACCGGTGCTTGCTTCGCTTGCCGTTGGCCATACAGGTTGTGTTGCTGGGATTTTCCCCTGATGGATTTCGGAGCATGCGGGGCAGGCTGTGCACTGCGGAGGCACAGCCTCCTCGAGGCTTGAAATCCCTTGGAAACTCAACCCTCCTTTCCATCTCCCTTCATATCCCGTAGCTGGGTCCCAGCATGTACAAATGCTGCATTGGCCTCATACCACGCAACGCACTTATCAAACACCTTTTTTTTTTCCCTCTAGGAAATGATGCAGGAAACTTTCTCTTGCAGCAGCTTGAGTAACATTCTCATTCTTCCTGGAAGTTTTCTTCTTGAATCATGCTTTTGTCCTTTGCATAACCTTAGAAAAACATGCCACTTTTACAAAGGAGCTATGAAATTGTTGCAACAAGTGCTTGGTAAACTTGGGCTGGTCCATCATGCCCTGGGTGACAAGCAAACCTCCTGCGAAAGGCTGCTTTGTCCCTGGGCTGGGTGGCTGGATCCCAAGGGCATTTCAAGGAAAATTTGCTCTGTTGCTTTAATCTCTCCCAGCCGGCTGGTGCAAGGTTTGAGGGAGTTTGATGTGATGCTGTGATTTTATACCAGCCCGCTGGCTGCAGCCACGTTGTCAATGACCAGGGGTGGACGGGACCCCGTGTCCTGAGCCCTGGTCTCCTGCACGGGGGCAATAACCAGGGATGCCCTGGGCATGAGTCCGTTGTGGGATATTGCAGATTAAAAGGAGCGTCACTCATGCTGAGGTGAGAGGGTGGCAGAGGAAAGCAGAAACAGGCATGGAGCAGAGAGGAGAACAAAAGTGCCCAAGGGAGCCAGCCCCTGATGTGCCTCTCCATGGGCTGGCTCGTGAATCCATGGTGATTGTGTGCAGTTTCCTTGTGGAAAAGGCAGATCAAGGGCTTGTAGAAAATGAGCACTGTCTTTTCCCAGCACTGCCGTAGGAGGCCTTGCTGGCTGGGACTGTTTCTAAGACAGATCAGGTAGCAGCACTGCAAAATTACTTTTTCTTCCTTCCAGCAAAAGCTGCCTTACCAGCCTGAGCTGGTGGAGAACAGAGAAACATGCTCAGCCTTACTGGATCTTTGGTCTCAGTAGCAGGAGGAAACTGTTATAAGCTGCAGCAATTCACTGTGATCCGAATGAAAATGCTGCTTGCAGTTATTGCAAAATCCATTCTTGGTGCTGTGCAGACACTGCAAGTTCATCACCTGGAAAGGAAGGTCCTGCACAGAGCCCCGGTGCAGATACCTACCGTCCAGCTCCCATTATTGTACATACAATGCCAGTTACTGCGGCTCTTCATGCTCGAGCCCTGTTTATCATGAATAAATCTGCCCATGAGTAGTTAGTGAACCCCTGCACTGAAGATGGATGTGCATCTTCGGAAGCTTCTGCAATGCAGCCGCTTCTAGGGGTGGAGAAGTGCTGTGCTGCTGCGTGCGCTCAAAGTATTTCTGAATCAGATTCATCTGGCCACTGAGAAATGCTTTAGTGCCTGCAGCAGCTGCTGAAATTAGGAGGAAATGAAATACCTTCTTCTGGGTTAGATATTGCAAAATCTCTCATCCCAGCCTGTGTGAAAGTTCAACTGCTTCCTTTGTTTATGAGATGAAGGATATTTTTGTCAACTCCAGTGTTTGATTTTTTAAAAATTTTTAAATAAGGGTCTGTTCCTCTATTTATTGGAAGTCTGAAACCTCTTTGTACTCTTAAAATCAGCTTTTAGCAGCTGGGCTTTTCATTAAAGGTGTTGATAGGTCATGTGTTATCACAGGTGACCTTCAAGAACAGTAAAGGGCAGTTTTTGATCCTGAAGGTGATGGTGGGAAAAGATGAACCTCTCCTACCGGCGTTGTTCCAGGCAAGGGCCCCCCGCGGCTCCTTCTCATTTTTGTGTGTGTGCATTTGTGACAAGGCCATTGCTTGTGAGACTTTGAAAATGGCTGTGGTGGAGCTGGTGAAGAGCTGCCTTTGGCTACCCCCAAGTGCTCAAACTCTACTCTGGCTCTCGCTGGACGCAGTGAAGGATTGGTCCAGGCACTTGTCCCACCGAGGCTGCTCTACTCTGGTTAAACACACCAGATTAAGTTACTCCTGATCCATACTGAAATGAAAAGAAAACCAGACCCTCAGTGTTTATTTGTCATGGAGATTTTACACTTGGTGGAGGGAAGCTGGTCTTGCAATGGAAATAGCAGAGGGGACAGCCCGGGTGGCCAGCGAGCCTCCCTGAAGCCACTGGATGATCTACCCTGTCCTTCAGACCGTGGACTCTTTGGGGCAGGGACTCTTGGGTGACTATACCTTAGTCACTTTCTGTGACACAAGCAGTATTTTATATACCCAGAGCAGCTGTTTTATGGTGGTAGCGATGTTCCTCGAGTAGCAGGAGGCAGAGCTCCACCTTTGCAAGGCATGCGTGGCTTTCTTGAAGCAGGCTGCAAAACGTCTGCAGTTATTATGGAGGAAAACTTGTGTTTCCTCAGTCTTGTCACAGCTGGACAGTCCACTCCTGTATATTAGTTGTTAATTTATGTTCTCTTTTGTACCTTGTAAAACAACTAAAGAAAATAGTAAATCCCGTCCTCGAAAACTATGTAAATAAACACTGATGATGAAATAGCAGTGCCCAGCAATACTTGCTGAGTTTTACTTCTTCCGGGCAGACCACTCCTACCTTTCAGTTAATTACACATAAGGAAGCACCAATTTATGGCAGGATGATACGGAGGTAGTAGAAGACGCAAAGTAAACTTGACAATGTCAGGAAAATGGTGTTTTGGTTTGTTTTTTCATAAGTGTGCTCAAACGTATCCAGCAAAGAAGTGGAATTAATAGCTTCTTCTTATCAGTTATCCATCCTTCCCAACAGAAATGGCCCTGATCTGTCAGGGTTTTGCGAAGGAGGTGCAGCAACGCTGTTGAGGAGCGCTTGTGCTGATCCAGAGGCAATCTGGCACAGTCCTTCCTTCAGTTTCACAGACAGAGTCACTTTAGACTAATAATAGTCATTAACGTGACTCATTAGATCTTGAGCAGACAGTTTCTTGACATCAAACTTGACAACAACAAGGCAATGATACTGCTGTAACGACTGCAGAGTCTTGAACTGAGCTCTCTGGGATGACACCCAGTGTTGTTATCTCTGAGTAGTGCCTGGCCATTCTCCCCCCCGTAGCTCTGTTCTGCATTGCAGTGACCTTTGCTTCTGCAATACACTTTCTCAAGAACTAATTCTTGAGTTTTGAGTAGTTTTGCTCATACTTCGCTTTATCTGAGATCTCTGTCACCAACCAATCTCCCCCAGAAAATCAGCTCTCCAAACTGCATGGCTGGCCCTTCAGCCTGCGGGGACTTGCAAAGCTCCATGTAGTTTCACCTTCCTGTTGTAACATTTCATTATATGTTTTCCACACCCCCCTTCTGCTTGAATTCCCTGAGAATGGTGAAATACGGCAAAGCCTTTGGAACTAGCAATTGCCAAAACCAAGGCTGTTTCCTATGCTTCTTGTTTTCACCGACAGCCACAGTACCTGCTGACATGGAGCGACGTGCTGTCTGACCCTCTCCTGGCCATCTCCTATGTGTAGAGAGATTGCAGCTCCTCTAAAATCTTAATTGTCTTTGGCTTTTCCCATTCAGGGTAAATATGTTTAAACCTTTACGCTTGTGGAAATACATTGTGTTTTGTGTTTGCTCTGAGACAGGAAACCAGTCAAATGTACTTTGTCAAGAGTCTTGATTCCAGCTTTTCTGAGAGCTACATAACAGAGCCATGTAAAGGCAAGCTTGTCCCCGGCTTGGCTGCCAAGGAGAAGCCTGTGAGCGTGGGTATGATGACAGGGAGTTGTGAAGGTTTTTGCCATCTCAGAGACTGGTAGCTTCTAGATAAGCACGATCGTAAAGAATAAACTCACTGGATGAACCGATTTCCTCTCTCTCCATAAAAACCTTACCTTTTGTGCCAGGTAGACTTAACAGCACATGCTTTTGCTGGACCCTCTGTGAACAGAAGGATGGAGGGTCCGATTCCAGGGCTGTTGAGGGCAGCGAGCCTCTTTGCATTGCCTTTCCTCAGGGCAGCTGCTGTCTGGCTTCATGAGCCAGGAAGTGCCCTGGAGATGCCATCGAAGGGGTTTTCCCACAAAACTTGCGCAGAGGACCAAAGTGCTCTCTGTATAGCTTTCCCTTCCCAACAGAGGACAGATATCCAGCAGCAATAGATTGAACTACAACAAAACCACTTCCTTTGTCCCCAGAAACTGCCATCCTGCTGTGCAGCACGTGCTCATGAAACACAAACCAAGGCCCTACTCGCCATATTTTCTGGCCATCCAGAAGGAATCTTGTTTAGCTTCCTATTCAGATTCTGAGGTTTTTTTTGGTAAATGAAAAATAATCCACAGCTGTTTTGAGGGTTTTGAGACACCAGGTGTAACTGGAAAATGAAAGGGAAGGCAAGGCTGAGCCTCTCAATTTGGGCTCCAATAATGATAATGATCCAATTTAGGCTTCATCAAAGAAGAGGGGGAGGGAGGACGGAGAAGGCGGTTTGATCACACGGTTGCCCATCAGCCAAGTCATAACCTGAGGCATGCTAAAGGCAGCAGTTGAGTGAAAGGATGGGCTTTCCAGGGCTGTAATTACCGGTCCTGCAGTGCCTGCGGGCAGTGAGGAGCTGGTCCATGGGAAGAGCTGCTGGTTGCCCTGGGTGGGTATGGACACCTGGCTTGATGTGGGACAGAGCACAAGGCACTTGGAGCTGAGTCTCCGTCGCATATTTACACCTGAGAAGCTTTGGGACTTTTTAAGTTACACCCTGGGGGATGCGTTTGTTCATCCTTTGCTCCGGCAACATTGGCATCAACATCTCCCATTAATTTCTGAGAGAATGCAAACGTTGATACAGCTACCAGACATCCCTTTGAAGTGAACTACCTTAGCAGAGGGGACAAAGCAGTAAAGAGATTTGTAAGAGCTGGCACACATCAAGTCACCCCTAATTTGTACTTTACAACAAGCCACGTTCTTAATCAGTTCTTGGGACTGGTGTGAACGTAGCCCAAGCTGCAGGCAACTCTGACAGGCACGTCCGTGCAATATAGCCATAAACACAGCATGTCCATCCCTGGAAATGTCCTTCAGTTCACAGCAGGTGTTGCTGCCCCGGTGACCTCCTCGACACCCAGGGATGATAAACGGACCCAGCCACAGGGCCAGGCTCACTTACCGGCACTACTCTAGTAAGGATGTGATAAGATAAGATGCTTCCCTGAACTATGGCCCTGCCATCTGCACCCAGGAGTATTTGCACGTTAAAAGCAGGAGGCCAAGTAGAAGGCACATGGTAGTTTGCCAAATTACGGAATTTCTGCTAGCGTTAGTGGGCGGAGGAGGAAGCGTGGGAACACCTGCGCCCTGCCTCCCGCTCCAGCGTATTTAACCACCGGAGTTGTGCCCGGAGCTGCATCTCTGCTCAGCCTCCAGCTGTCCTGGGGAGGGAGAAAGCAGGCTTGGGGAAGATGAGCTGCAGCAGGTACCCAGTGGATGTGAAGGCTGTAGGCTTGATGCAATGCAGAAAGCAGAAGGTACTTTAATGGTTTTTTTTGTTGTTGGATTTTTTTTCTCTCCTTCAATATTTACAAATCAGGGAACTAGAGGGCTTTTTGAGTTACTCTTGCAGGGGTATACTTGCTCATTTCCCCACAGTGTTGGGATTAGAGCCTTGTGATTTAGGACAGGCGTCCTGGACTTGTTTTTTAATGGTCTTAATATCGTAAGAAAATGGTTATCTTGGATTCTGCCATCTTTCTGTTCACAGTGTTATAAATTTCTTCTGGTTTTAACAATGATTACCCATTTGGGGCCCTAAAATTAAGGAAATATTTCTGTAGGTCTAATGTTTAATTAATTTTTTTAATGTGACAGTCTTGCAGCCTGAAGCCAGAACTAAACCACAGGTCCTGCCTAATGCTGATTGCTTGAAAGCCTCCAATGTTGAACATCGTAATTAAAAAAAAAATGCACTTTTTTATTTTTTCCAGAACTACATGATGTTTGTGTCTTGGTCAGATCAGAACAACATTCTCATCTACCGGACTTTTGAAGACTTTAAGAGATTCCATGTAAGTGAATATTTCCCTGAAAATAGGATTCCCGTCCTGGGGAGGGGAGAAGGAGCCCAGCTGTGTGTCGGGGCTGCGAAGCATCACTATTCTCTCCTCCTCCTCACTTTTAGAAAGAGCTGAAGAGAAAATTCCCCATCGAGAGTGGCTCACTCAGGAGATCTGACCGGACAATACCCAGGTTTAAAGGTAAGGAGAACAAATCTCTGATGGACCAACAAACACAATACAGCTGTTGGGGACAGTCGTAACTGATGACATAGAGACTGAAGTCTCTGAGTCTCACCTTCCTCTGGAACAGATTACAGCTCAATCCTGCTCATGGCATGGTACTGCTAGGTTACATCAATGTGCTTGCATCTATTTCTGAGTTAAAATAACCCAGAAAGATTTTTTTTTTTAAATAGATAATTGCACTTGGTAAATTAATATTACACTTTAAATATTGCCCAGAGCTCCTCGCAACATTTATGTGTGAACAAAGATAAGTTTTACATATTCAAAAATTATATCAGGAGCTATTAAAAATGATAGGGAGGCAGGGCAGCTTCTGTCTCGGCTTCTTACAGTTTGGGCTTGCGTGGGGAAGGGTGGTGGGTGAGGGCACCCCTATGTTCAGGCAAAAGATGCTGCTCTCAAGGCATCCAGATCTGTTGTTGTCTTACACGAACTTTGCTCTTGTTATTTTAAAGATGCACACGTGAAGCAGAGGAAGAGTGGGAAGCTGAACAGGTGCCTGGAGGTACTGAAACTGCTAGAAACTTACTCGCAGGAGCTGCTGAGAACGGACGCTAAAATCTCCCAGGGTGAAGACGTGATTCAGTTTTTCAAGGCACAGACCCAAGACCTAGATCCCTCCTTTCCTGAAAACAGGTATAAAATCATATTTGTATTTTTTGTTTGTATGTCTTCCTGAAACAGAAACGTTATAAAATACAGGTAAAAGAGAAACAACAGTTACATACCGCAGCAGCAGAGCAGGGAAGTTCTGCTGAATGCTTTAATGCATGTTTATGTTGTTTCTGATGCCTAAGCTTTTCTTGGCCTATTGCATAGACAATTTTACCAAAATTAATACTAAACTCAACCTTCCATGTGAGTTTTCAGTAAACTGATATTAAACTTTACTTTTCAGTGTTGTGATCATGCCATCAGAAATTGGAGGGGAAAAGAAAAACCGTCCACGGCAGCAGCTCTCTATTACACACCCCCAGGCATCCCAGAGCTACAGATGCATAGAAACCTTTGAAACCAAAGATGCAAAGAACAAGACTTTCAAAGTCGCTAAGAAGGAAATTGTGGAAGTGTTAATCAAGGACATGACTGGTATGTGTGACAGGGATTCTTCGGTTTCAGGGATGGATGGTGTAGATTGATTCATAGCTTGGCAAACGCTGAGTCGGTAGTATCACAGGTGCGGGTGGGTGTTTGTAGATGTGGTGTGCTTACCCGGATTTACATGGGAGGAAAGAACAAAGGGTCAGCACAGCATCAGCCAGGCACCGAGCTGCTCTGCAGAATGTCCCTCCTGTCTCTTGTGGCAGAGCAGCCCCTACCCAGGGATTATGGTCATCTCTCTACTTGCAGGCTGTTCAAACTTTTTTTTTTTTTCTGTTTGCTGCAGGATGGTGGCTAGTGGAAAATGCAGACAAGCAGATAGCCTGGTTCCCAGCCTCGTACCTGGAAGAGATTGATGTCCACAAGGATGTCCAGAATGCCTTGAGCTCGAACGAGGAGGGTAAGTCTGCTTCTGACTCCCTGGGATACCACATTTCCTCCTTCAAAAAATGAGTTCTGCAAAAACCCCACCACTTTAACCATTGCTTGGAGTCCCTGCCTGGATCTCTGACTTTTCTGATCAGCTCCGCCATCAGCTGTGGGGCTCTGAGCAAATCAGTCACTTACAGGGACGCTTGTCATGCAGCTCTCGCTGGCTCCCCGGGGCTGCTGAGCTGGTTGGTCACAGGGATGGAGGCATTTCTCCGCAAGGCAAAACTGACCTTCCCCTTCTCTCTGCAGGCAGCCTGTACTTTGTTGTGCAGGCCTACGAGTCTCAGAAAGCAGATGAGCTCTCGCTGAACAACGGCGTTGTTGTGGAGGTGGTCAGGAAATCTGACAATGGCTGGTGGCTGATCCGGTAAGGACGCTTTTCCGAAGCTCTTATTCCCTGAGGGAGCTGGTTACCTGCTGCAGGTGCTTCTTGCCTGCTCCTCCCCAAGCGGGGTGCAGAGGAGCTCCCCCTGAGTTGACAGCCCTTGGCTAGGGATGGTTTCCCCTTCCTCATGCCCTGTGTACAGCACTGGGCTGAGTCCTCACCTGCTTCCCCCAGGTGCTCTGCTCCCTCCCCTCGGTCTGAGCTGGGAGAAGGGCTCTTTTCAGTGTTGCTTTTCATCCTTCCCCTTCAGATACAACGGCCGTACTGGCTACATGCCCTCCATGTGCCTTCAGCCCTACAAGAATCCTCACCACAAGCTCCAGACCATCATAAGCTGCGGGCTCAATGTCTCCACCCCAAACCTCTGCTCCTCCCTGATGGCTCCCCAGCCCCAGGGTGAGGCCACGGGACGGCGCAGGGTGCAGGCTTCCTCTTCCCTTGACGGGACTGAAGAGGACGTGAGCTCTCCGAGAAGCAGATCAAGGTCTCTGCCCAGGGCCAGCTCCACCCCGGACCTGGAGTCAGACAGCTCGTCCCTCAGCTCGGGGAGCAGCAACGAGCGGGATGGCCGGCTGAACTGGAAGCCTGACTTGTCAAGATCTCTGCCCGAAGTCGAGCAGGCCAGGAGCTCTCCCCTGGGGCATGCCTTGGCCGCACACAGCAGCAAGTCTCCACACCTCACCCACAAGGACAGGAATGATTCTGGCTTTGTGGAGTCATCTGCACCTGATCTAAGCTACTCCCTCCCTGACCCAGACTTGGCCGCTTGCGTCCCCAAGGTGCCCGTGCGCCCCTCAGCCCACGAGATCCTCCAGAAGTGCAGCACCCTCACGAAGCGAGCCATGCAGCAGTCCTCCCGGCCAGCTCTCCAGGCTCTGCTCCCTCTCCCGAGCGTGCACTAGTGCCCCCGGCGGGGGGACAGACCCAGCCCTGGGCCACCACCACGACCGAGAGCCAAGCACCCTCTGCACCGAAGTCCCGTGGGAGCCGTGGGCAGTGGTGCGGGGACTGTCAGGGCTTGGGACCATCGCTTTCCAAGGACACTGTTAGATCCTGATGGAAGACGCATGCAAATGTTGCTTCCCTGGGTAACACCGATTTGTGCTGCAGCTTGCACAGGGAGGCTGGGAAGCCACGAGGGGCTTTACTGGAGTTAGCGGGAGAGGATTTAGTGGTTTAACTTATCACGTGAGTCAGGGCAGCCGTAGATCCGGCAGCTCCTGTGTCAGGTAGAGGTCACTTCAGATTCAGTTAATTCTCCCTCAGGCAGGTATTTATCCTGCAATGTAGTATGTGAAAATTTCACAGTTGGTCTTGCGTTACTCCCCACAGCGGGGCTGGCTGGCAGAGTCCTGCAGCCACCCCGGAGAGCGGGAGCGAAACCCAGACACAGTAAGTGACTTAGTCACCCATGAAATCCAGAGCTACACTTATTGGTATTGGGTAGGGATGGGATGGTGCAGCCATGAGAATGTCATTTATCTGAACTGCCTATTTCAGATATTCTTTTAAACTCTTTAATTTTTGGTGTTTGTTTGGTGTGGGTTTGTTTTTGTTTTTTTTTAAAGGTTAGATCAACTTGGGTAGTGGAGAACTGGCCATCAAATATATGGCTGGATCTGCTGAATGGCTGTGAGAACAAAAACACCTGTTAGCTAGAATCGAGTTAGAAAAATAGTTATAGGAAAACTTAAGCCTTTTTACATAGATTGCTAGTTTTAGTTTTAGTTATTCTCCCAGGTATCTGTTTTTTGGGGTTTTTTTGAAACAAGCAATTTAACCAACTTGTGAGGTGTTTATGTTGTTCTGAATTTTATACATTTTTGTCTCTACAATAAAATACACGTAAATATCTATTAAGGCTGCTTGTTTTTTATACTTCAAAAATTTGCTAGCTGGGGAATTAAAATTGCCCTTATTTCCCTCCCAGGTGCTACCATTTGAGGTGGGCACAGATGAGAGCCCTGCCTTGGCCCAGACTGCATTTTGCCCAAGCAGAGAAAATATTGAATGACACAACACTGATGAATACACACTGCCCTGCTGGGCTCTGGGATGTGATACGACGTCGCCAGTAGTGTCTCCCAACTCCGTCAAGTCTTTAAATCCCCAGTAAAGACCAACCGCTTACTCAGAGCCAGGTTCTGCCTTTTCTCCAAACTAAGTGCTGTTTAAGTGTCTGGGACTGAAAATGTAGGGTGTGAAAATACAAATGGAAACCACAGCTTGGCCAAAGGAATGACCCCTTCCTCTCACTAAGCCCCAAGGAGACTGAATGCTGGACTTGTTTTAGAAATTCAAACTTTAGAAATTTATTACAAAATACAGGAATAGTCCAGTTGCCATACCTTGTGGGAAAGCAGTTCAGACTCTCCCCTCTGGAAAGAACAACTGGTGGGAGGAGGGTCACAAAGTCATGTCTTCCTGCTGGGCTGCATCAGCCAGCCTCATGTTTTGCCACATGAAATCAATGAACATGGAGGCCTGTAGCAATCGGCTCAGTCTCTGAAAATGGCGCTCTGCAAAGAGAGAAATCCGATGGTTAGCATCACAGAGAGAAAGCTCACCAGAATGGGGTGCAAAAATCTCTCTGCTCTTTAGAGCAAGGCAAACAGGGAATATTCACAACACAGGAGGAGACCTCAGGCTCACAGCCCGGCCCTGCTGCCTGACTCACCGGTGTAAGGCAGCAGGGACTCCACAGCAGATTTAATGCCCGAGTACTGCAGGAGGCTGTCCGGTGCTTCGTGCTTCAGAAGGGTTTCAATGACAGCTTGGGCCTCGTGGCAGTTTCGAGAGTTCGTATTCCACGTCACCAAGAACGTTAACACCGCCTCTAGGGAGGAAGGAAATTTGTACACGCTGGCTGTGCCACGGGCGCCGGCATGCAGAGGATGCCAAGTTGGAAAGCATCTCTTCTGCCGTACAGAGGGGTTCAGCTCCCACACACCGTGACTGATGAGCCCGGAGGGGCAGAACAAGCACGCAGAGAACCGTTCCTTGAGGGACATCCTAAACAAGGGGGTGGTAAGGCCAGGCAAAGCCACTTGCGCAAGCTCAGAGCAGCTGCTGGTGTGCACCACAAGTAGCACCGTAACAGAGAAGCTGACCCCGGGCAGCAGTCCTGCTTGAGGGTGGTGGGAGCTCAGTGGTAAATGCTGAGCCTAGGGAGATTCTTCTCCTTTTAATTTCAGTTGAGAAAACAAGTTTTTCTAACATGAAAGGTTTTAGGACTTAAACCATGTTGCAACAAACCTTTCTGATCCTTCCGGAGCCGAACAATGTTCTCTTCCAAGTGCTTTCTCCCATCAGTTTCCTTGAGGATGGCTGTGGAAAAGAGAAGTGAAGAGTCCGCACTAGAGTCCAGCCCATGCACCCATGGGCTGAGAGCAGGGAGACCATTTGTTATCAGGGGTGATTTCACTTAGGAAAAGGGGAGTCATAAGAGAAAGGGAAAACTGAGGCTTTTGGGCAATTAGACTTTGTAGTCTTCATCTACCTGGAAGAGATGTTCTGGAAAGCAGAGAGGGCAGAAAAATGCCTTCAGAGCACAACTCACCTTTGACCACCATCAACACTGTGTGCGGACGATCCAGAGAGATTGCCAACCCTAAAGCTTTGAGATATCTTTTCTCATGAAGCAGGTTAGAAAGCTCTTGCTCTCTGGAAAACAAATCAGGGTTGAGAGAGTGAGACAAATATTTGGTTGGTGGAACAAAACACTATACAGAAAGTAGCAGATTTGGCAATAATAGTGTGCAGAGGTTTAAAGCCAAGAAGCTGATACTGCTTGCCAGTGAATGCCTCAGTGCCCTCATTGTGCAGATAATCACCCCGGCATGTTCAAGGGCTCCCTGAACTATTCAGTGCTGGCTGAAGCAGGAAAAAGTGAAAGTAGGTTTCGGCAGTTTGACTTTGCTTATCTTAGCAGTGCATAAACATGAAACGAATCGATTGTTAAGCTGACAGTATTATAGCAAGGCTTTGCACGAACTAAAGATAAATTACTAGGTAGAAGAGACTACTGTGCCTTAACAGCCTCTAAACAGCTAAATGATGTAATGTTCGGATTAGATGGAGCTGGGTGGCTGTACGCATGGACGGTTTCACTGGAAAGAGTTTGCCTTTCACAGCTCATTATCGCACAAGATCAACTTACTTCATAATCTGCTCCTCCTGTTTAGCTTGTGCTTCTTTCTCTTCAATTTCAGTGACATCCTATAAAAAACCAGGATACAACTTTGTCAAATCTTGCTTTAATACAGATGAATTTTTATTTAGCCATCTAATGATTAGGAGACCAGTTTCTGCAGCAAGATCTCTAGGTCAAGTAATTTAAGTGTTAAATCCAGCAACTCGCAGCTTCCCTCCAAACCACTGTTAGAACACCAGCGCTGGGCAGGCTGCTAAGGCCCATCTGCTGTTCCTTTTACAACATCAACTTGGGAAATACAGTATGACCAAAAAAAAAAAAACCCCAAACCCCAAGATATGCCTTACTGACCCAGTTTCAAAGGGCAGAAAATGAGGAGAGCACGTGTCACGCTGGAATAGTGAGGAATGAGCCACTGGGATCCTGAGCTCTCCAACTGCCTTCTGATTACTAATCCAGAGAAGAAACATAGAAAGACCGCACACTGTACCTTCCACAGTGTGATGCAGGAGTCACTGGATGCTGTCACAACCATATCATCTTGCTTGTTAGAGTGAAGACCCCAGATTTTATCTTCATGACCATCTAATGTTTTCACACACTCATTAGTTTTAATTGTCCAGAGTTTTAAGAGACCATCAGAACCACTTTTGGAAGAGAAAGAAACAACAAAAAGAATCACTGGATAGATCCATTGTCACTCTGCCCTACCTCAAATATCAGATAAACTCATCCCATTCCAATGCCTTTCAAATAGGAGCAGAATTAACAAAAAATGTCAAGGGCGAGATGCACCCTCAGCTCTGCCTAATGGCAGTGTATGTCACCAGCCCAGCAATGTCACAGCAGCTAACTCGAATCCACAGCGTGATGGGAGAAGAGGAAGAGAAGTTAGCCCCTGCAGAAAGTTTGGCATAAACATGGCATCTTCCTATTAGTCTTTCCAAAACTAAATCCATTGCATAAGACTCTTCCCTCTTGCTGCTGATATCAGCTAAGAGATTTCTCTTCTGATTGGTTTTGGCATCTTCCTCTAGACTCCTGGTATAGGTGCTTACCTGCTGAGCAGTTGTGTTCCTCGGCTTACAAAAATGATCTTCAGCACAGAGGCATCGTGACCTTCAAATGTCTGGAAAACAGCAAGGAAGCTCAAAAGTGTTAGAGTTGTTGCTGGGTCTTTCGAGAGAGTCCTCTTTCAAGAGGATAATAGTTATTCCTAAAGCCCAAACAGGTAAGTTCCAAAAAGCAGCCTCTATCCTTGGGACTTTTACTGTAGATTAAAAGGGCAGTAGGAAATGACTTGTCCCTGTAGCATTTCTTCAAACAACCTCCTCACTTAAAACTTGCTGCCCAGGGTCATATTGCAAATGGTCTGAATGGTGAGGCCAGCTGCATAGGCTATCCCCCAGGAAGGCTGATTCCCCTGCCACTGCATGAAGCACCCTTTCAGTGAGGTAACGCTGCTGGGCAGAACATGGCACAGAGTAGCCACTGCCGCCTCATGGTCTTAGTGAGACACTACTGGACTGGAAAGATAGTTTTATAACGAGCCAGTCTGAAATTTAAACTTGCGTGTTTTCCCACCATGGCCACAGCTGTGTCAGGCAAAGCCAGCTTTCTATCAATAGCTTGAATGTGCTTTTCTCCTATGATCAACCATGTTGCTCACTGGCTTGCTAAAAAAGAAAGACCACTTGAACACTGGGCAGATGCTCTTGTCCTGGGGCTTTGCATGCAGCTCACACATCCAAGATCCTGGAGAACAAGGCTAGACCTGGATAGCTCTTCCTTCAGCATGGCCATGTTGCTACATTTCAGCTGCATTAACTAGCACATACTTTTTTGAAGCAGCCTTAATCAATCTCCATAACATGCAAGGGCTGCCTAGAGCAAGGGGCAGTCTGAGTTCTCATTACCTTCAAACAGCTGAAGTCCTGAAGACCCCAGAGCTTCAGGGTTCCATCTGCTGAAGAGGTGGCCAAGATCTGATCCACCGGGGAGAACTGCACACACCAGATTCCACGCTTATGTCCAGTGAAGACACCCAGCAAAGAGCAATCAGAACAGGACCACAGCTTGGCCAGCCGATCCTGTGAGCCGGTGGCAATGAGCTTGTCATTCGGAGAAACTGTCACGCTGTTTATGTCCTAGAGAAGTCGCACAAGTACAGAGAGTGCAAAGCAGTTTAAGTCTTTGCTCTTGCTGTCAGACAGGTAATAAATGTAGGGTACAACACAGGAGAGAAGGATTTAAGTACTAAAAGCATGTTCTGATGTCAGGTGGAACTTTACCTTGTCATGACCCCTCTCAGTCACTTTTGCATGAAGGGTTTCTGGACTGGAGATCAAGGCTGCTTTTGCTTTGGAAGTGAGGGATTCCGGGATAGTCCAGATCTTGATTGTGCAGTCCTGGCTGCTGGTCACTATGAAGCTTTCTTTCAGTCTGAAAGGAATAAAAAAGTCAAGCGTAAGGAAGCAAAACCGTGGCTTCCCCTGCACAGAAAAAAAGGCCTTCTCCTCCCCTACTGGTGTCTACACACATTCAGTCACTCTGCCGGGATGTGAAACAGAGTGCTTTAATGATTTTTCAAGCTGTTTTTCATTTTACTGAGGTCCCTGGCATAGTCTCTAGCAATTTAGACATTAGGCAAGAGCACTGCTAGCTCTTCATTTACAAAGGTATACTGCAGCTCTTGAACAGGCAAGCTGGGCGTCCAGACTGTTAGGCAGCACGAAGAAAGGAAAAGAGCTGATAAACAGACATACTATTCAAGCAAGCACTTTCATAGACACGTTCTCTTCACTCCCCAACCCTCCTCTCCAGACCACTCAAGCTTTATCTGGCAACTTATCCAGCTGCTGCTCTTTACGGTAAATGGGGATTAGACTGACAAAGAAATGCAAACTTCACAACTTATGGACAGACAGATGTGCATCCAAAAAAAAATCCTCCTTCCTGCAAACCCAGAGCACCATGACAAGCTGGCATCAAGAATGAGAAACAGGATGGCTCAGAGGCAGGCATCCACCAAAACATTCACCCTGAGGATCAGCAAAGCAGCCACGACTCACGCTTGCGAAGGTAAACCCTCATCCAATTTTTATTACCTTGAGCAAGAGACAGCGCCTACCCCGTGCGCATGACCCAATCCTTGGGCAACACAGATCACCCTTCCATCTTTGTTCATCCGCCACACTCGAAGGCTTTTGTCCTGTAATGGGAGAGGACAGAAACCACTGTGCTTTTTTGACAAATGATCAGTTCCCCATGTATTCACCACGTTTGTGAGCCTGACTATTCACTTATTTTCAAGTTTGAACCTTTGCCTGCATTCATCAGAGCAGGTGAGGGCAGACACAGCCAAGCAGGGTGCACTGCAGTCTGGGATTCCAGCGTGGAGGTTTATTTCTGACTGTATCAGGGCACTCGGCACCTTTTCTTCCAACATGGTTTTTACACACAGCTCCCCATCAGACTCGCACTAACAACATCTCTGAACTCTAATGCAAGACCAAGATGCTTGGAGAATGAGACATCTCCTTTCAGGCTAATAAAATACAATCAACCACATTTCCCCAGGGACAATGTTAAAAAGGGATAATGGAAGAACCTTATATCTGGGGGATGTAGCAGACAGGAATTCCAGCTGAACAAAAGCCCTTTCTGGATCACCAAAAAGGAATACAACGCTGCCCATAAAGATCACTAGAAATGAAAAGTTTAATTAAATGAAAAAAACTAACACACCTTAGCACAGCTGACAAACATCAGGCCTTTTCTGAAGACATCCAAAGCAAGAATTGTTTCTAAACAGAAGAAGAGAAAACAGCTGGATGCAAAGTAATACTGAAACAGGACAACAGAAATGCATGAATTCATGAGTCCACTGCTTACTGCCTGGGGGACAGGTTTGGGACACTCGGGAACATATCCACACTCCCTGCGGAGTGACTGGCTGCTTATGGCATTGGTGCGAGTCTGTCACTTGCAGCCACAGAACTGCATTCAGAGCTCACACTCACGTACCTACATCTTTAGCTCCAATTTAAATCGATCTCACTGCTAGTGAAAGGGACTGAACTGACAGACCTGGAAAAAAAACCCTAGTGTTTGCAAAACCAGGACAGCATAATATACCCTTTCTTCACACAACTCCAAAAACCTGTCGTGATGCTGTTCCAGAGAGAACTCACGGACTCCAGTGTCCACATAAGAGTTGTGAGAGAAACTGGATAAAGAGATACTTGCACATCTCCCACCCGCCCACATCAGAGCTGACCGCACACACCTGTGTGGCCATAGAGGATCTGGCAGTGTGATGTTGCCAGCTCAAACACTTTCAGCTGAGGGCTGTTGGTAGCCACAACAATGTGAGAATCACCAGGCCCAAGGAACTTCACATCCAGAACCTCATCGTTGTAACCTGCAAGCTGAGGATGGCAGAATAGAAACAGTTTAACAGGAAAAAGTCAGCTGGTTAGAGAAGTACCAAATGGCACCACGCTCAGTGAGGCTGCATTACTGTTACTTTTCATTTAATTCCATATGTAAAAATCTTTTTTACGTATAAGCTGGAGCACGGGAGAGATTTCTGGCTAGGCCTGTTCTGCTTTCTTTTTCCTATGTTTGTCTCTGTACAATATTCCTCCAGACAACCCCACCAGTGAAACTGGCTTTCCGGCTTGTAACCAAGGAACAGTTCAAGAACAGGCAGGAGACAAGGGCAGCCCTGGACAAAGCTTTCACCAGAAGCAGAGCTGATCCTCAAGTATGGGTAAAGGAAGAGGAAAAGGGAGGCCAAGGGTTGTTACCTGCTTCCTGAGCTGAAGAGTTTGAGCATCATAGAAAACAATGTTGTGTTCCACGGACACCGTGACAATCTCATTTCTCTCGGGCACAAACATGCACTGGGTGAGACTGCGCTCGCTGGCCTCCTCCTTCAACTCAAAGGGCACAGGCTGGGTATACACACAAGCAGCTGTGGCAACTTCCCAAACTTTCAGGATGCCTAACAAAAATGATGATATAAATTATCTGTCAGAGCCACTGTTTTAGACAGTGATTGTCCAAAGAATATAAAACAAACCCGGGCCTTGCCTACTGGAAAAAGCTACACAGCTTTAAGGCAGGACTGCAAAGAGATCCAATCACAGTGGCACGAAGGGGCATGAAGTTTTTCTTCTTCAGTCCAAATCAAACTTTGCTGCAGCTTGAAAACATATATAGGTAAAGGTTCACAGCATGCCTGATCAATCCTGCTCATCCCCTACTGTTGGAGCAACTCAGGAGAAAGCTCTGCTCTCCAGCCCTCAGGAGCTCAGCCCAAGGCTTCTGCCACACAAAGAACGCACATCCCAAGAATACCAGCAATGCAGTGTCTTAAGCACTGTTCTTTCCTGAGCCTCCAAACCTGGCAGTGACGTGGCAGGACACTCACCTTTGCTGCCAGCTGTGACAAAGTGCAACCCTTGTTTCTTCACACCCAGTTGAGAGAAATCTCCCTTTTCAGGTAACAAGATGGCAGCTTCCACGCTCTGCAAGAGAGTTGGCCGAACACCAACTAAGCACAAGGGACCGGAGTCCCGTTTCAGCAACCAGAACTGTGCAACAGCCCGCTAGTGCCGAGAGACGCACACACACCACACTCCACTGCCCCAGACTGCACGGCTACTGAGGAGAGGCAGGCATATACAACGAGAGAACAAAGTTTTTACATGACCGTCCTTCCTTCCTCCTCCAGCACTGGGGCAATGGAGGCAGCAGTGGCATATATTTCCTCAAACTGCCCAGGCACGACCACACCAAACAAGGAGAGAAAGAAAATCAACAGCTTTAGACACAGAGTTTTAAGGTCTCTGGATAGTACAAGGGGGAGAAACCTGATTTCATAATACATAGGAACATAAAGAGGGAGAGGTACCATACAAACTGTGACCTAGAAACTCCAAAGGATCTCAAAGGAATAAACGAAATGCAATTTCACCTCGTAGACAGGGACGGTTCGTTTACTTTCTCTGGTTTTCAGGTCCCACACCATGCAGATTTTATCGCGGCCAGAACTGCAAGTTAAAAGAGCAGTTTCAGTGCTAAATCCATTCAACTTGGGCTCTGAGTGCAAATTTGGAATTGTGGGAAGAGGCCCATATGAAAGAAGGCACCAGCCTTCCACGTGACAACACGGTATATTGCCAGAAACACAAGATCAGTCACTCGCTTGTATAGTCAAGCAGAGACTGAACACTTGTAGCAGTCCTTCCCCTCACAGGACAACCTTCCCAGACACTACACCCAGTCTCTGGCAGGAGGCAGGGTGAACGGAAGAGGAAGGCTAAACCTCTGCAAGGTTTTACCTAATGAGTGTGTTTCCATCCGCAAATGCCAGAGAGGTGACAGCACTGAAGTGGCCGTCCAGCACAGCAACACACTTGCTGGAATTCAGGTCCCAGATGCGGATTTTGTAGTCAATTGAGGAGGAGAAGAGTTGCAGACGGGAGGTATCAGGGTGGAACTCAACAAGGCTAGACAGAAGGAGATGCGCTTGAACAGGACAGATTAAATGATCTGGCATGCTGCTGTCAGCCCAACATTTAAATAAATATACATTCTACACAAAGAGTTCGACAGATCAATTAACATGAATTTATATCAGGACTTTCTTTGTAGGACTTCATTCCTCTGCCACTCACCAGGAAAATTTACAATTGATCTTTGCCAATCTTACACATTCTTGAAGTACAGATATTCCATTTAGATCCCAGCACACTTCTTGATCAAACTCTTTCCTCTCCGGGCTAAAGTCAGTCATTGCCCTGCTCCTTCACTAGACATCTCAAGAATCAGGAAACAGAAGAGCCCAGAACCTGCTCGGAATGGGCCTTTACATTCCATTAACTCAAGACATTTCACATCAATCCTAGTGTTCAAGCATCACACTAATGCCAGCGACTGACAAAAATGACTCGTCCTTACTGTACAACTCCTGAAGATCCTTTTAGGTTGTGTGTGCAGTACTGTTTGATCATATCCCAGATCTTAATGGTGCTGTCACAGCCACCTGGGAAAAGAAGGGCATAGAAGAATGAATGACAGAGGAGAGAGACACAGGAGGCCCAATATATCAGCAACTGTAAAATGTCACGGGTTGCAAAGGCAGCAGGAAAAAAACCTGAATGCAATAACAACCACCCACACCAAGAGAAGCTCACGGAGCACCTTACACTTTCAGAGAGCTGAGCAAAACCTGACTGCACACAGTCAAACCTGAAGTACAATTAAGTTAGAGGTCATGCCTGACCTCCTCCATCTCCAAGAGTCCCAGCTCTGCACCAGGATAACTACGTCATGCTGTGCCATAGATGCCTGATATTTATCAGCATTTTACTAAGTATATTTTAGGTAGAACATTGAAAGGATCCCTTGTTGTCTGTCAAGACATCACTTCTATCTAATTAAAACCTCTTCTGATTGTGTCTGAATTCAGGAGATCACTACCTCAGGCTGTATCAAAAGCAGAAGGGCCACTCAATGTCATTCCCATCGCGTGACACTGAAATAGGACTGTACCTGTGGCTAACAATGTGGAGGTAGAGTCAAAGGCCATGCTAGCAACTGGTGCGACGTGCACGGCTTTCCATGTGCGAACACATTTGTTCTCTCGCCAGTTCCACTGCTTCAGCAACAGGGCTCGGCTCCCTGTCACGAGGATCTACACAAAAGCAAGGCAAAGGAAAGCCTTTAACTGCTAACTTAATTAGCTGCTAATTAGATTTCCATTTCTTTCAGTGCCCACACACAAAGCACAGAAATGCTAGTTGCTAAGACTCTTGAAGCTCAGCCTCTCAGCATTCCTATGTCTGTCTTGAGCCCAGAAGGGAAGACAGACAGAAGCGCCTGAGAAGATTCCGTAGAGATCTCTGGAAATGCAGGGTGCTTCCAGGCGGAGCGGCCTTCAGCGCTCACTGGCTTTAGCAGGAGGACTGACAGAGCAGCACAGAAAAGCACGAAGCAAACACATACCTCATCATCTGGGCTAAGAACAAATGAACTGATGTTCTCTTCATCGTCCTACAGAAACAAAAGGAAAAAACCCACAGTTAAACCCCCCGTGGAGCAGCGTGCTCTCAGAGTTCCCTCCTCTACGTGCTTCTGCCGACACTGAGCGCACCCAGCAGCTCCCAGGAACAAGACGAATAACATCTGTCTGCATTTAGAACTATTCTCACCCTCCCCTCCACTTCTTGCTCATGGGAGCTTTAGAACAACAGCTGGCGATAGCGGCAAAACACCTCAGGAGCCCTGGAAAAGTCCTCAGCAGTTTCATCACCAGTCAGCAGAGGCTGGGCCTCCTCACCTGCTGGAGGCTGTGGAGAGCTCCCGTTTCTACATCGATGACATTCAGCTTGGTCCCGCAGGGGCAGAACATGAACTTTCCATCCCGGTTTATCTGGAGAAAAGGGAACGGAAGCCAGGAACGTTAAAGCCGGGAGACGGGGTATCCCCAACCCTGCCCCTCGCCGCCTCAGTACCTGGACTCGCCCTCCTTTGTAGAAAGGCTCGATTTTCCTCGACACGGCGTAGCTGGAAGGAAAAGAGAGAGAGAGAGACGCAGAGCGGCAGTTAAACCAAACCGCGGCGGCCCGTTAGCTCCCGCAGGCGAAGGCCCCGTGCAGCGCCGCCACAGGCGCCCGGCCCCGCCGCTCCCGCCGCCCCTCACTTGCTCTTGAAGCGCAGGGGGTTGGTGGCGGCCGCCACCATCTTTCGCTCCGCGTGCCGGCCGCTTCCGGCGCTCCTGGTTGCTACGGGAGAAGGGCGCCACTTCCGGCGCACGTAAGTGACGTATGAGGCCACGCAGCGGAGTTCGCTGGGCGACGAACGCCATCTTTACCGCGGGCAGGGGGGCGGGCACGGCGGAGAGAAAAAACGCCCAGTACCGCAGTGTCATTTTTTTAGACACTAGGAAGGACAAATAAAGACTCGACCAAGAAGCTTTCGAGTAATTCACCTTTTATTACATATAAAAATACATAGCTAGATCATTTCAAAGCGTTCCAGCTGCGAATACTCCGTCATCGTCCGTAACAGCATCCCCTTGGCTTCGCACGGCTCACCTGCGCCAGCAGCAGCGAGGGAAGAATCAGCCCGGAGCTGCGAGGCAAGCGGAGCGCCGCCCGCCGCGGGCCGGCAGCCGGTACCCGGGAAGGCAGGGCCCAGCTCTGCAGCCCGGGCGGATCCGTCCGGGGGCCGCGCTCAGCACCTGCCGGCGGAGGGAAACGAGCGCTCAGCAACAGCCGTTACCCCGGCACGCGGTACTGCCCCGTATCTGCTCGCTACAGGGGTTATGGGAACATGGGTTTCACTGCCCACGCATCGCCGTAGGCAATAAGCTTAATGTTCCCTATACTGTCGGCACAGTTATCTCACCGGGGGCCACAGGAGACCCTAAGTGATTTTCAGACTGCGCCTGGCGCCCTCAGCTAACGCAGCCCCAGAAACCCCTTCCCAGGCCGCTCACCCAGGCCCAGCCCAGCCCAGCCCTGCCCTCCGCACCACCCGACACCGGCTCGGACAGTGCCCTAAGCACATCCCAACAGGTTGGGTTTTTTTTTTTTTAAAAAAGCTCAAGGAGGGCAGAAAGCGGGAGACGCCAGCTCCCCCTCACAAGCCGGGCCACAGCTCCTCACCTTCCCTCGGCTCGGGTCGACTCAGACTAAACGCTGCTCGTCTGCGCGCCCCATTATATAGCACAAGGCTGGCGCATGCGCCCGGCT